AAGAGCAGCATGCAAAAATGTATTTAAGGACTATCATCCCAAAATGCTGCTAAAAGCTATTAACCAGTATGTGTTAATTGCCACAGCATTCATATTAATTTTCACTTCAGGCTCGACATTGTGGAATATTTCCCCTGATACATTTTAAACAAAGTTTAATTTAAGGAACTGCTTCTATCAACACTTATGAAAATTAACAGCCAAGCAATTAGCACTCATGAATTATCCCTTCCCCCATGCTCTCTGCAGCTTCCCTGTTAAAACAGTTTCTAACAGAGAAATGGTTACTTTCTAATAAGTTAACACAATCAAAGTCACAGTTGTTTATATGAACCAGAACTGGTTCTGCTTTTTAAAGTACCTGTCAAGGCAAACATCCTCCTCATACTCAGAGTCTAATGTCACTAAGTCAAATAAGTAAGATATTTAATGTTTTAGTAAACTGACAAGCAATTACTGACATCACACTACCTTTTCACCTGATGTTTAGAAAATAGCCATTGCAGAAAGAAAAAAAAAAAAGGAAGTAATTACTTGTCTTAATCTTCCTATTTGAAGTTAAAGGTCAAAATCCCACTGGACTGATTCCCTGGACTTCTACAAGCAGACCACTGTCACCCAGTCCGTTGTGCATCTTGTTTAACCATGCTAAACTCCAGACTTTAAGAGCACATTTCCTCTCACTCTATCCTGTCAACAATCTAATGAAGTATAAAGGAAAGAGAGCAGCACTGGCCCGCACCCTTTACTTTACAGAGAGAGAGAGGCAGAAGTGAGGTATTTGCTGGGTGCTTCCTTTGTGCTGTCTCAATCCTCCAGAGGTAGACACGCCACCACCATCTCATTCCGCATACAAGGACTGCAGCCTCATGAGGTTAAGTAACCAGCCTGACATCACACCATTAAGTGATGGAGTCAGGATTCAAACTCAAATCTTACTTCAAAATAGATCTGCTTACCAACTAAATTATACTGCCTCTTCCTGTGCTGGGTGTTGTATCCTATTTGATGGATTCATCAGGATTGTGAGGAAGGAACTCAATTTCTTTTCCTACGTCTGAGATTCAGTGAGGTGAAAAACCTGACTATGGTTACACAACTGATAATCAGTACCATTTCTTTGTTAGTAACAGTATTGACAGGAGGGGCATATCTGAACTTCTGGAGGTCTATTGATGATAATATTTGTAAACACAGTTTAAACAAAATAGTGATGTCAATGTACTAGCTAAAACTCCTCAACTAAGTGGTAAGGCATGCAATGAAAACAGCGAGATACTTTTTAAAATAAGACTTCATTTTTTTAAAAGGTGGAGAGACAGGGCAGAAATCCACATATTCAGGAATACTGAAATCAGTGCTGAATGTTCACTGCCTGTCACTCCTTCATTGCCTCAGAGCAACTCCCGGTCACACCCAACATTTCCCATATTCAGTGAGACCACAAGGACCAGCACAAAAATGTTCCTATTATCTCACCTCTAAAACAGAGGCTGGTTTTGTTCATTAATCAGAGGTCCTGTTTTTAACAAGCCCAAAGACCTGAGGCAGATGGCTGAGCCTGATTTTGCCTTGTCCAGCTAAGCATTCCTTAAAACCACTTGCAATCTGTCTTGGTCTGTTTTCAAATGATCAGTAAACAGAGTTATTAATAACCTATGAATCTAAAACAGGTCATGGATAGCCCTGCCAATTTGCCGACAAAGATAATACAAACACAGTAATGGTAGTGGTTTAGTCGCTAAGTCATGTCCGACTCCTTGCAACCCCATGGACTATAACCCACCAGGCTTCTCTGTCCAGGCAAGAATACTGGAGTGGGTTGCCATTTCCTTTTCCAGGGGATGTTCCCAACCCAAGGATTGACCCCGGGTCTCCTGCAGTGCAGGCAGATTCTTTACCGACTGAGCTACAAGGGAAGCCAAAAACAGTAATAAACCTGATCAAAAAACCCTTCGAAATTACCAGAAAGGCTACGCCTAAGTATGGCCTTCCCTCTCAACTGTATAACTTCAAGAAGTTATCAACCAACCAAAATTTAAAAAAAAAATAAAATTATTAACCAGCTACAGGAACCAGAAACTATTTGAAAGTACTCGCTTTAATTCAGCACAGTAGCTAAGAGATGCTTACCCTTGGAATCACTAAAACCAACAATTCAGTTTGCACAAACTCTTAAAGATGCCTGCTTAACTCTGATGTAACTGTAAGGCCATACCAAAAACAAAATCCTTTTTTTCAAATCCAACACTAGTTTAATCATAAGGAGGATTTCACAGCAGTTAGTCTCTTGAGGAAATACATAATTAAGTAGTTTTTTAGCATATTTAATTAGACCCCAAACTCTTTCCTGTCCCTTTCTCTCCCCAATTATGTACCATTTACCCAAGAGACCCAAGCAACTCAGTTAATTATGTAAATAAGGTAAGAGTTATTCCCAAGAAAAGCATTGTGAATATTTGTAAGGGGGGAAAAAACTGTACATATTTTAGTGGCTTTAACAAACCTTTCCAAGAAAAAAATAAGTAACTATCAAAATACATGAGAAACTCTTACAATGAAGCAACAACAGGGAGTGATGACAAGATGGTGAATCATTAAAACAGGACACTCATTTCACTTCTTAAATATGAGCTGAATAAAAATAAAATAATTTTAAGTTACAACAGTAACAAAAATTTAGTGCTGAACGTCAAATGATTTATGGGAAGAATCAATCTGGAAATTATTAAAGTCGACTCTCACAGAAAGGCTTTATTATCAAGGGGTTGACATGATCTTAACTCTAGAGGCAGCCATGGTGCTGTTATAACTACTACAATCCCATTATTATGCAATCACAAAATGCTAATTTCATCATTTTGAGGTGTTATTTGAATAGTCATTTTAATTTCTAGGTTACGAAAAGGCTTGACTCAAGTATAATTCTCTATTAATCACTGAGATGTCACTGAATATCATATTGATGCATTTCACAAAGATAAAAGAAAGACTAATTTAATATGTACAGTACAATATCCTTCAAATATTAGCCACTTTCATTACACATCTGCCAAATGCATCAATATTAAATAATAGATGAGAACAAGGGTTTAATTGTGTTTTAGCAATTGTAATATGTAGAATAAAAAAATAGCACTGTATCACAAGAAAGACTTATCGATATATAAATCTTTCTTAATCAATTGTACAACGGTGATTGGGCCATGCTCACATCCTTTGCTGATTACAAATACATTTGTTATGACAAAAAACATCAAGAGTTGTAAGTGTAAACACACACCTAGCAAAAATAATTCCTTTGTGACTGAGGAAATGGTTTAGTTTTCAATTCCTTCCTGGCACTTCAGAAATTAGGTATATATAACACACAGAGTTCACAACCTTCGAACAAGTCCAAGTGTAAGTAATTTATAGGAGAATCTAATAGTATAATCAAAATTCTAGAATATGGTATTTTAAAAGATCTGCACTATTTTGTTGGCAAAGCATTATCACATATTAATTATTCCAGAATTCATTACATCCTGAAACAATGAGATGACAGGAAACAAATAAATTCCAGCCATGTAATCTAATCCCAATAATAACGTCTCACATTTCCAAATGAATCAACTGCAGTATTTCCGAAAAAAAAAAAAAAAAAAAAAAAAAAATCCCCTTAAGCCCAACTCACTTGTTTCCAGAGGCTGACATTTCCATCCCTAGGGGGACCCTTTTTTCTCTTTGCTGTTTTCCACAAGAAGCAGCAGGAGATGGGGGCAGGGGCAGACTGAAGAGAAGCTCTTCACAAGATACAATCTCTAATTTACTAAAAGTGCTTTCTGATGTTTTGGGAGGAAAATTCCTGAGCATATTAGGATTTTATGTTACTTATGCATTTTGTTTTTAGTTTCTGTTCTTCTCTGCCAGCATCAATAACCTCACGTGCCAACAGCCATATATGCTTACTTAAGGAAATGACAACCCACTACAGTATTCTTGCTTGGGAAATCCCATCAGCAGAGGAATCTGGGGGGCCACAGTCCATAGGGTAGCAAAGGGTTGGACGTGACTTAGATACTATACAAAAGACCAGTGGAAACATGCTGAATTGTATGAGATGAAAGTGTTTCAAAGTAAAGAACATCACCATGCTCAAAGATGACAACTGATAAAACCAGCATATAACCAGGAGTTGAATATGAAAAGTGCAAACATAAGCAAAGAGTTCTATGTTTATTAATTGCAACTATGCTGAAATAAGACAAATTGTACACAATCCCTCCAGGCAACAAGCTATCACTCAGCACCCCCAGGCCACTGACAGACAGCAAACATAATGGCAATAAATAAAAAAATAAACTGCTACAGTTCTGAAAGACGTCCAGCTCAGCTTGGTACAGAGACACAGAATGTGGGAATACAGGAAAGTGGGTGCTCCACGTAAAATAGTGGTCCTTTTTTCTAAAAGGAAAATAAACACACTTTAATTTTATAAACTGTAAATTGTCAGGACAGGAAAAAATTAAGTCATCCTGCACAGTAAGTATCCAAACGAGATTCAATAAAACACTGAAATGCAAAGCAACATCCTAGAATTCTGAAGAGAAGCTCTAATGTCCACAATTTGTGGAGTTATAATCAAGACTCATACCAGACAATGCAAACTGTCAAATGCAATGCAAACTCCCAAAACCATTTTCAAGGCTTCCCCACAGTTAGACCTTAATTAATCACAATCCAACTAACCCAAACCTTAGGACATAAAACAGGAACACACACATTCCTATCTCAGGACTGTTTCTGTTTTCATCCCCCCAAACATATTACCATGGAAACAACAGTAAGCCCAAATCCAGACCTTTTTACACCCTCAGTCTTTGAAAATGTGAGAAACATTCTTTAGTTTGTTCTGACTCCCTTTTGAAACCTACTTAAATGTGAATCTGAAAAAATAAGAATGACAATACCAACAGTAACTCCATTCATCCTGAAGGGATGCGTTCCTGTTTACTTACCTTGCCATCAAATTTGGAGTACTCGTTAAAGGGATTATTCAGCTGCAGGGGGCACTGCTCCAGGCGTACAGATAATATCGACTGCTTCCCAGAATTTGGAGGTTTCTCTTTGAGGGACTTTTTTTCAAACAGTGACTTTAACTCCTGGGCTGTGATAAAAGAGGAAGATAAAAACATCTTTGTGATTACAACACAGAGAGACAGCCTGTGTCCACCTTCCCTAAAAAGTCTTCCTTGGAACCTTAAGGAGGGAGCATTCAAGGACATGTTCAGATCTGATATGTGCAACAGGCCTAACATATACTTTTAATGTCTGTGCACTGAACGAGCAGAGCACAGAAATACACATGTAGGTCATGTTTGTCAATTTAGAAAGACTAGGGTTTAAGGAAAGGGGCAGAGGTCAGATAAATCAATAGAAGCGCTATTCTATAAGAGCATTTCACAGCTGCGAGATCTGAGCTTTGGCCTGGCTTTGCCACTAACAGATGTGTGATTCTGGACTATTCACTAAACCTCTCTGGACTTGTCAAACCAGATAATCCTGAAGAACTCTCTTCCCTCTAATTTTGAAGTTCTAGTTGTTCAAACTCAAGGTTCACAACTTAACCCTCTCACGGTTCCCAATGTGTACCTAGCACATAATCTGAATGACAAAGATGAAGAAGTGGAAAAGGAAAAGGAGGAAGAGTATTTATAATAACAGAAGTCAACATACATTGAGGAAGCCAATGTATCTCATCTAAACCTCACAACAAACTTATGAGGTAGACACTAGCTTTATCTCAATTGTGTCAGTGTGGAAACTGAAGCATAGAATACTTTGATTGGCCCCTGGTCACACAGCCTGTAAGGAGCAGGGCTAAGATTTGCACCCCACTAAGGCTCTTAGCCATTAGGCACTAATGAACACAGTAGACCTTCAATAAATTTCATTGCATGAATCAGTGAATAAAATAATGATTGAAGGAATTCAGATTAAGTTATTAAATCAAAGTCTTCAGCACTTACTCATTAGTGAACCAAGACTAGTTAGTTCCATCCCTCTCAAAGATCATTTAATTCTCTATATTAATCTGAATGTCATTTAAGGCGATAGCTGGATAAGTACATGGGGGTTCATTGTACTTTTTATTTTTGTGATTTTAGAAAATTTCCATACTTAAAGTTTTAAATGAATCAATCTTAGATCTTAAAATGTGCAATAACTAAGTTAAATCCACTCCATTCTTGAGCACGACCAACCTGAACTGAGATCAAACATAATTCTGAAATAGTTACTTAGAACTTTTTAAAAAGGTAACAAGTTATTTTCAACAAATTAGTGGGACAACTTTATCAGATGAGTCCCTATAGATTCATATGGCAAACCAGGAGAAGAGGACCTGTTGCTATGAATGTATAATTAACAGATATTAATCTGTTGATTACATGTACTTACAAACTCAGAATGTGGATTAGATAGCAAAGTGTCATAATTTTTGGGTGTGAATGAATAGTATGCTAGCTTCTTGGGCCCAGAAAATTATTTTTTTTAATTTATTTTGTTAATAGAAGCATACATTTCTAAAAACCTCATACATTTAGTGACCTGAATCAACAAGAAGGCTACTATGATTATGATATGCATGCATACAACATGATATGTCCAGAGAGTGAAGCTCCAAATCTAGTCTCCCAGGTCAGCAGAACAATGGAAAGTGAAAGACAGAAGGCAGATGGACCTCCCAAAGGCCAGGGCAGAATGGACGAGGAATGCATGTAACTAAACACAGAACTGTACAAGGATAACACCTGCAAGACACAGTCCTAAGACTGTGAATCATCCAGATCAACTATTTGTAATTGTGATTACCAAACTATCATCTCACTGAGCACGGTGCTGACTAAATACTTGAGCATGGAAATTACTATACGTATGTGTTCAGTCTGTGGCAAGGAGTTAGGTGGTGGTGGTTGTTTAGTCACTAAGTTGTGTCCAACTCTTTTGTGACCCCCTGGACTGTAGCCCACTGTTCCTCTGTCCATTGGATTTTCAGGCAAGAATACTGAAGTGGATTTCCATTTCCTTCTCCAGAAATGCCACCTTTTAAAAAATAATTAGAAAAAAAAAAAAAAAAAAGAATTAGATCCTGTTTCTCCATGATGTAGGAAGCAAAGGAGGAAGGGGGAAAATGTCATAGGTTGAGGAGAGAAGTCCAAGTGTGACTTAGTCAGAGAACGGAAGAGTTAATAAATACATTATCACTTCACACTTAACCCTACTGATAACAGTACAGTGACTTTGACAAGTCACAGCCCCGTTTCTTCTGGAGCTACTGGTAACTTCTCTCTTAGGACTACTGTGAGGACAAGATAAGAAGACACCTGCCATTGTTCCTAGCACCCAGTAGGTTTTTTGTTTTTGCTTTTTCCAATACTTTGTCCACCTGATGCTAAGAGCCAGCTCATTAGAAAAGATGTTGATGCTGGGAAAGATTGAGGGCAGGAGAAGAGGGTGACAGATGATGAGATGGTTGGATGGCTTCACCAACTCAATGGATGTAAGTTTGAGCAAACTACAGGAGACAGTGAAGGACAGGGAAGCCTGGCGTGATGCGGTTCATGGGGTTGCAAAGAATCAGACACGACTTAGTGACTGAACAAGAAGAAGAAATAGGTGTTTGATAAAGGATCATTCCTTTCCAAAGTGCAGCAATAAACTTGTTGATTGATTACAGGCAGAACAGCACTTCCAATATTTAAAATACCACTTTAATAGCAATCTAAAATGTTCTTAAATGTGCATTTTAACCTATTGCTATTAATGTATAATTAATAGATATTAATCTGTTGATTAATGTACTTATATATTCCAGAATCTGGATTAGTGATTCCTGGATTTCACTGCCAGAGGGCCAGGTTTAATCCCTGCTTGGGATATGAAGATCCCACAAGTGGTGCAGCACAGCCAATAAGATAAAATATGTAGGTAGACACCATTTTACAAAAGTCAAAACTAAACTGTGGTGATATAAATCAGAACAGTAATTGCCTTTGGGTAGTGGATTAACTAGAAAGAGGCATGAGGGAACTTTCTGGGTTACAGAAATGCTACATACTTGACTGGAATGCTAGTTACTCAGGTGTATATGTTTGGCAAAAGTCATCAAACATTTAACACTTCTACATTTCAGTGTATGTAAAGCACACCTCAATAAAAAATAAATAAATAGGGAAAACTTTAAATAAATAAATATTCTTGTACACTGATAACTTCTAAATGATTATTCCTAAATACTCCCTAAAATTACAGACTCACATATTCAACTTTCTATTTCACTCCTCTACTTGGTTGGCTAATGGCATCTCAAACTTTTCATGTCCTTATATAACCAACCTCTTGATCGTCCCATTAACCTGCCCCTTCCACAATCATCTTCCCAGTTAATGGCAACTCTGTTCTGCCAGGCAAAAAACTTGAGCATCATTCCACTTTTCTCTTTCACACTTGATCCATCAAGAGAAACTTTAGAAGATATCCATAACCCCCTGTGGCTATGGAAGCTGGATTATTGCCACCATCTTCAAACTGGTCTTGTTTCCACAGTTTTCTCCCCCGCCCAACCCAGAGCCAGCCAATGAGTTTCTTTAAAGTACGAGTTATAAACTTCAGAATAAGAAGGAAATGGATAAATCTGATGCTATAAAAATAAAAACTTCCTAATTATATAGTGTCTCAAAGTAGAGAAGACACTGACCAACAACCCTATAGAAAAATGTACAATATGTAATATCTACAGAAGAAGCTCGAATAACTCTTAAACAAATGAAAGATATGCAACCACATTCACAGTAAGAGATACGCAAATTAAAACTACACACTGATACCACTACACTTCTATGAGACTGGCAAAAATAAAAAATGCTAAGGCTATGAGGAAATAGACCCTATTACCAGAGGGAATGCTAAAGAGGAAATTCTCAATGAAGGGGGAATGTGGCAATGTCCAAGAAAACCATATATTTACCTCTTGGCCCAGCAATATCACTTTCAGGATCTGATCCCAGGGATACTGGCAACAAAACAAAACTCATACGTGGGAGGCTTTTCACTGCAGTGCCATCTACAACAGCAAAAGCCTGAAAACTATCAAATATCCCGCAACAAGGGCCTTTGTGGCTAACCTATGATACATCCACATCATGAAACCTATCTCCATAGATTGCTCCAGAATAATTCCCAGGGTATGTTGTTAACTGAAAAATGTGTTGCATAAAGTAGGGTGTATTATGCTATATTTAATTTAAAAAGAGGGGATACGAATGTGAATATGTTTATATATAGTTGTAAGTGGACAGGAAAGCCAAAACCTTTTTTAAAATGACTAAAAGAGTAGAAGATAAAGATTGAAGCTAGATTTCTCTTCTTTTATGTATTTAACTTTGGAACCACATAAATGTTTTGTGTAATTAATAAAGGAAAATGCAACCTCAAAAAATAAAGCAAACTGAAATACATGAACTTAAGTGTAGTATTTAGTTGGCAGTTTAACTACAAAGAGAGGAATTATTTTAAGTAACTTTATCACAGAGCAACATGACTGTATTTCCTAACGGAATGTATTAAAAAGATTTTAAAAAATTCTTAAAATGTTCTCACTAATCATAATGTTACTAATTACATTGGTATTTCAATTCTGGAACCAAGATTTTCAGCAGGAGAAAAGATACATAAACATAAAATCAAAAAAATTAAGTAGAAGTTCCTAAATTCTAACTCAATGTATTCTCTCTTTAAAATTTTATTTTTTTCTGAGCTCTACTCCCTGAAAAGGCCTATTAAAAAAAAAAAATTCAATCCAGTGAGCAACCCTAGAGCTCACTTGTGGTCTCTCAATGGCATTTACCACTAAAAAGAATCAAGACTCCCAGGAAAAATGGCTGATTCCAAATGTGGAGAAGAAAATGTGCAAGATGAACCTGCAACATCTTGTTATACAAGAAAGCAAGGAAGGTATGAAAGATTACTGGAACAGTGTCAAAAGAAGTTAGAAGCAAATGTGAAGGGACTCACTATACAAAAGGACAATATTAACATAAAAAAGAATAACTGCAATGAATAGAAAAATATAATTTATGCTTAAAGCTCATGAGTGGATAATGATAC